GGGGGGGGGGGGGGGGGGGGGGCAAGGAGTCGAAGCTTGCGTCACCAAGGGAGCCGGAGTATAAACAAACATCAGCAAATGGCCAAGCTTGAATAATAGATAGAGCCAGCGCACTAGAACATGCGATTCCTCTCAGACATCCCCGACCGGTCACACCGATACTCTGACATACTAAGAGAGAACGCCGTATGAGTCTTCAGACATGGCCGAATGTCCTCTGATAAAATATGAATTTTCATGGAAATTTGTGAATACTTTTCTTCGAATTTTTCCAGAGAATTTTATTCGCGATCAGATCTAAATTACCTGAAAATTTCAAGAGAAAATATTCATAATTCCCTTCAAAAATTAACCCTTTTTCGGAAGAAATTCGGCAACTGTTGAACGTTCATACGGCGCTTTTCTTCAATTTGACAGTTCACTCCCCTTCCCCGTTGGTCATCATTGCAGACCTAAATAAAAAGATGATGCTGTGCCAAGGAAAAATTCCGTATGATCATAATCGTGTTGCCGAATGTTGTATTTCTAAATATAATATTTATTCATAAGAAAAGTCGGAATATTTGTTATTTAAATTATCATACACACTACATTCAGTCGCAAAATAATTTATTCGAAAAATGGGGGAAAAAGTTCATAAGTTTTCCGGAAAATTTGTGTTTTAATAGGAAACATTTGGCAACATCTGCACAATCATGCGGCGTTTTTTCACAAAACGACAGCTTTGAAGGCTGTCGTTTGTAAAATATATCCGTGACGCAAAAATTCGAATTTCTTGACCCCCCTCCCTGCCCCCTCGTAACGCTTTCGTGACGTGAGTCCCTATCCTCTAACACTTGAGAACAAAAAAGCGTAACGCTTTATTCGACGCTTCTCACCCAACAGAGGGTTACGTATTTTATAAACGGCTCTCTATGCAATTTAGCTCGGACGAATGCCAGTCCTGACTTATACGGGTATTTGGTATTGTTGGGCCGTTCATAAAAAGATGTAGCGCTAAATCGGATTTTTCAACCTCCCCCTCTTTCCCCGTCGTAATGCTTTTATGACGTAGGTCTCCATCCTTCGACATATAAAATCACACAGAGGCGGATCCAGCAATTTGGCAAAACTGGATTTCCTACATTTAAACCGCTGCTAAATAATCGATTCTTGTCGGAGCACTTGGTCCCTCCAAGAATCGATACATTTTCACAGCTTTAGATGGAGAAAAGGCAATGTTGCCAATTTGCTGGATCCGCCAATGAAATCACAACGGCGTAGCGCTCTTTTCAAGGCCCCCCTTCCTCCTAGAGCGGTATATATTCTATGATGCCCCCTTCTCNAAACTTCAACCCCTAAAGATCAAACTTAGAGAAATACGTTTTACAGGATGAAAGGCAAAGGGAAAAATTTCACCACCGGCGGCAACGCAGAGTCAAGGGAGGAGAGAGCTCGACGGGGAGAGAGGGGGTGCGGGGGGAGGGACTGAGAGCCAGGAGAGAGAAAAAGCATCGAGAGAAGACGCGCACTGATACAGTTTCGTGGAAAGGCGAAAGCTCCAAGCGAACGCTGCCACCCCGCAACGACACCGCCACACAGTGGCGCGAGTCGATCGGGAAAGTCGGACAAAATCTTGAAACTTTAAAAGCTCATATCTTTGGTAGTAAGAACCGTAGAGAGGTGCTAAAAAGTGGTTTAAATGGGTTTTTCCAGAAATTTTTTCAATAAGCACCCCATATAGTATAATATGAGGGGGTGTTCATGAAATACATACGTAACGCACTTTTTCGGCATTTTTCGGGATCGATAAACAGGGTGTTCGCAGCGAACACCTTAATAATCGATTCTGTACCATAGATTTAAATGGCAGAAAAATCGGTACATTGCAATTCACGCCACGCTACTGCTCGCGAGGTAGCTGTAATAAGGTTCGACCTATCGGAAAACCAACGGATCTGATTGGTCGAATCTGGAAACAACGGTGTTACCTGGTGTTGGTGATTGATATGCTAAACCGGGCCAGAACTTCCCAAAGAGGCTCGGAACTTTAAGTAAAATTCACTTAAAGAGCTCCATTTTTCGACAAATCAGTACTCTCTGTATAGAGACAGAAGGTTGGTAACGTATAGTCAAAGTGCGTCAAAAATCAGCTTAATTAAAGCTGATTGAGGGAAAATTGTACTCACATTAGCTTTTCCCCTCTATATTGAGATTTTCANTCCGTAACGCGAAAATTCGAATTTCTCGACCCCCCCTCCCTGCCCCCTCGTAACGTTTTAGTGACGTGAGTCCTTACCCTTTAACACTTGAGAGCAAAAAAGCGTAACGCTTTATTCGACTCTTCTCACCCAACAGAGCGTTACGTATTTTATAAACGGCTCTCTATGCCATTTAGCGCGGACGAATGCCAGTCCTGACTTATACGGGTATTCAGTATTGTTGGGCTGTTCATAAAAAGATGTAGCGCTAAATTGAATTTTTCAACCTCTCCCTCCCCCATCGTAGCGCTTTTGTGACGTAGGTCTCCTTTCTTAGTCATATAAAATCACAACGGCGTAACGCTCTTTTCAACGCCCCCCTTCCCCCTAGAGCGTTATATATTCTATGACGCCCCCTTCTCGGGTGGGGGGGCGGATATTATTTAAAACTTTCGGGGTGGCCAGGCCCAAATTTCAACCCCCAAAGATCAAACGTAGAGAAATACGTTTTACAGCATGAAAGGCAAAGGGAAAAATTTCACCACCGGCGGCAACGCAGAATCAAGGGAGGGGAGAGCTCGACGGGGAGAGAGGGGGTGCGGGGGGAGGGACTGAGAGCCAGGAGAGAGAAAAAGCATCGAGAGAAGACGCGCACTGATACAGTTTCGTGGAAAGGCGAAAGCTCCAAGCGAACGCTGCCACCCCGCAATGACACCGCCCCACAGTGGCGCGAGTCGGTTGGGAAAGTCGGACAAAATCTTGAAACTGTAAAAGTTCATATCTTTGGAAGTAAGAACCGTAGAGAGGTGCTAAAAAGTGGTTTAAATGGGTTTTTACAGAAATTTTTTCAATAAGCACCCCATATAGTATAATATAAGGGGGTGTTCATGAAATACATACGTAACGCACTTTTTCGGCATTTTTCGGGATCGATAAACAGGGTGTTCGTAGCGAACACCTTAATAATCGATTCTGTGCCATAGATTTAAATGGCAGAAAAATCGGTACATCGCAATTCACGCCACGCTACTGCTCGCGAGGTAGCTCTAATAAGGTTCGACCTATCGGAAAACCAACGGATCTGATTGGTCGAATCTGGAAACAACGGTGTTGCCTGGTGTTGATGATTGATAAGCTAAACCGGGCCAGAACTTCCCAAAGAAGCTCGGGACTTTAAGTAAAATTCACTTAAAGAGCTCCATTTTTCGACAAATCCGTACTCTCTGTATAGAGACAGAAAGTTGGTAACGTATAGTCAAAGTGCGTTAAAAATCAGCTTAATTAAAGCTGATTGAGGGAAAATTGTACTCACATTAGCTTTTCCCCTCTATATTGAGATTTTCAGCTTTATATGCTGATTTTTAACACACTTTGACTACGTTACCAACTTTCTGTCTAAATGACTCGTGCGTCTATTCCGATCAGTTTGTCTCCCTGTATACACGGAGAAAAAAACTTCGTGCGTGGGACCCAAAGTTTAGGTCATATGGATCTCTGAAGTTTTCGGATTGAGCATCCGAACACTTAGGGTCCAGCTGCTGAGGTTTGGATCACATATCTGAAACTTCAGTTCTTACATCTGAAGTACTTCGGTTTTCACATCCGAAAAACTTCGGTTCTCACATCTAAAGTACTTCAGATGTAAGAACTGAAGTTTCAGATGTGTGATCCGAACCTCGACGGCTAGACCTTAAGTGTTCAGATGCTCAATCCGAAAACTTCAGGGATCCATATGACCTAAACTTCAGGTCCCACGCACGAGGTTTTTCTCTCCGTGTATAGGTACTCTACCCTTAACTAACGAGCACACCTCTTCTTTCCCACCTGTCTCTTGTTCCTTTTATCATAAATATACGTCCATTTCTTGTCCGGTGCGTCCGAAAGCTCGTTCCGTTGTGCGGCGCGCGTCTCGGGGGGGCGAAGTTGGGCATTTTCCGGGCGCTGCGCCGCGCCGGTAACACTGCGCTTAATTGACACTGGGTCAGTTCCTCCCGACCGGGGCCGGTTGCCATAAGAACCCTGCAGCAAACAGTGAAACAGACGCCATCTTGCTTCTCCATATTGATCTTTCGGCTATCCGCTCTCCTCTTTCATCCGTCCTCCCCCCCCCCCAGCCCGCCTCCCGCTCCTCTTAAAGTTCAACTTTTTCCCGGCGCGGAATCTCTGCTCCGCCGCGGTTTTCATTTTATGACGCCGCGCCGCGACGCGACGTGAAACCCGACGCCGACGCCGGATTAAAATCAAGAGCCACTCACTGGAAAGAAAATTCCCGTCACGTGAGCTGGGTTCGGTGGAATGCACAGGGGATGGTACGGCGATGCCTCGCTCTCCTGGCGCCAAAAAGAAAAGGAGAGGA